GAAAAACAGTGAGGAGCAACATTGCACTGGAAATGTTCTGAAATATAAATCCTAGAGGGATTATGGGATCTCTGCTTAGTGAAAGGTTAACCAGGAAGAGCATATTGGCTGTTAGACACACTCTCATCTTGATGATGTGGTTGAAAATCAACGACAGTAGTACGACGCTGTAGAAAGTCCAATGCTTTCCTCTCTTTCACAGGTGCATCCCGGTAATTATGGGTCATTTTACGATGACCAGCGGCAGAACTGGTCGGTGATGTTTGAGTCGGAGAAGGCAGCGATGGACTTCTGTAAGGAGGTGAGAGATGGGGAAAGAGGCAGGACATAGGGGCGAAAGAGAGATGGAGAATGGTAGGAAAGGAAGGAAAGAGGTGAGGAGAGGAAGTGCAAGGTCAGTCTGAAGACGCAGTCTGAAGTTGACGCTGCCGGCGGTCTCCGAGCTTCGTTTCTCTCTGTAGGTGTGTGTGGCCAAGGGAAACAGCGCCCCCTCTCTGGATGCTGTGGTGATACAGGACCTGGTGCTGGGGGAGGGGCAGGCTGTGGAGACGGGGGACTCTCTGGAAGTGGCGTACACGGGCTGGCTGCTGCAGAACCACGCCATCGGGCAGGTATGACCAACACGGAGACTCGCAGAAAGTGCCACGCAAAACAATCGTGCTGTGGGTTCCTGAAAGCCCTCTCTAAGGCTCGTCACTGAGCTTAATAACATAGTCTGCGTCTTAAATAGTTCTGTGGAAAGGTAGCATCTTTCACAGCTCTGTTGACCTGTGGGGACTCTTAAATTGGCACAACAAAAGCTTCCTGGACAGCCTTTTCAGCTCACCAAGCGGTGGTGAATTTGAGTGTGCTGCGCGATGCCGATGGTCTTGAGTGCGGTGAGGGCTGAAGTGCGCTGACTGGTCCCTGTGCCCCTGTAGGTGTTCGACTCCAACGTGAACAAGGACAAGCTGCTGCGTCTGAAGCTGGGGGCTGGAAAGGTCATCAAGGTGAGAGTGAGTGATACTCCTGGCCCTTGGGGAGGTCATCAAGGTGAGAGAGAGTGATACTCCTGGCCCTTGGAAAGGTCATCAAGGTGAGAGAGTGATACTCCTGGCCCTTGG